GAGGACTTGAAATCAGTTATTCCTTGGCTTGTTCTTGAGAAATCATTGCTTCACTTTCCTCCATGCCCTTCTCTTGTCACAAACCCCATAGAAGCTGCCCTTGGAGGCCTTGTGCTCAGCTTTTTGTCGTCGGTGGTGGCCATACAAGACTGCTGCGGGCACAAAATTCTCTGGGTGTATTTAAAGCGTATAGCCGAGCGGCTATACATTTTAAATATATCCTAATATTTAAATCGTATAGCCGAGCGGATATACTGTTTAAATGTATTTTAATATTTACACGTATAGCCGCGCGGCTATACTATTTAAATATATTCTAATATTTAAATTGTATAGCCGGGCGGCTATACAGTTTAAATATATTCTAATATTTAAATAGTATAGCCGGGCGGCTATACCGTTTAAATATATTTGAATATTTAAATAGTATAGCCGATCGGCTATACCCTTTAAATATATTCTAATATTTAAATAGTATAGCCACCCGGCTATATGTTTTAAATATATTCTAATATTTAACAAGTATAGCCGCACGGCGACACCTTTTAAATATGTTCGAATATTTAAATAGTATAGCCGCACGGTTATACGGTTTAAATATATTTTAATATTTAAATAGTATAGCAGCCGGTCTATACTATATTTGTATATTTAACAAGTATAGCCGCTCGGCTGTACCGTTTAAATATATTCTAATATTTAAATATATATATTCAAATAGAATTAGCGCTCAAATAAACCCAAAAATTAGAAATTAAAAATTAAAATGCTTATTATCACAAAACGTCATTAAGGTTTACGAACTCATCATCCTACTAAATTTAGTCTCGTGTTTGTTTCATCTAATCCTAGTCTTAAAAGGGATTGCTAATATCGGACCCACCAAAAAGACCTCCTTAGGAGGGGACTAATAAACCCATGTGAAAAGGGAAGATGCCAATTTGGCATTGCTGTGCTGTGAAAATAATCGCTATCAGATTTGCTGTGAGAGAAATCAGCTGTGAGAGAAAGCAGTTTGGCGTTTGGTAAACTTTTTGTTATAAGTGCTGTTTGTACAATAATCAGTTTCTGAGTGTTTGGTAAATTTTTTTGTAAAAGTGCTGTGAGCTATGTATAATGACTAAAAAGGACATTATTCTATGGTGTTTGTGACCAAAGATAAGCTTTTTGGAGGTGAATGAAAATTTAGTGGATCAGTCACTTGAGAAAATATCTACACAATTTTAGAGTTGCATGTCGGTTGCCATCACTATAGCATATTCCTAACTCCAAATGTAACTCATCTATCAATATATATGGGTCTCTTTGGTAACTTTTTTTGTTAGAGAATGATTTACAGGATCAGACAGCACCAGAAGTACAAAGGAGTAACAAATGACTGAAGTTGGTAAACAGATGGCAGACAAAGTTTTCTTATCATTGTAATGAAAAACAAAAACTGGCAAATTAGGTAATTAGTTTTTAAGCATTACATTTGGGTTTTCTTTCAACGATATGATCAGATTTGGGCACATCAGTAAGCTATTATATAACGTATAGGGAAAATGGAAGTGTGCCATGTTAAATTGGGCACATCAGTAAGCTATCGTTGAGATGTGAACATATTTGGTTGGAACCTGTAAAAGCCAACTAGTTCTAAAGTCACTGTTTCCTTTTCAAAGGACAAATGCTAACCTTGCAAAGTCAATCGATTCAATTAGTCTAATGCTAGATTGATAGACTCATTGCTGGAGCATTAAGTCCAAACAAAGCATGAACTATTGACCAGAAAAGGAAAAAAACAGGGTATGAACAAAACAACCATTTCTCTGTAACCAGATCGAAATATCAGAGTTTTCAGACCACCCATAATCCCTTGGATTCAACTCCAGGCTCCAGGGGCGTGACATTTTATATCTCTTTAATTATTTCGACACTTCACAATTATTTTTTGGAATTTCTGAAAAGAAAAATTAATCCCATTAAGTCTAGAACAAGTGAACCATCAATGCCCAGCTTGGTCAATTTGATGTGTCTTTGGAGCCCGAGCACAGAAGAAGCAGGCTTCAACATCACGAGCCCGAGCACAGAACAACACAACCATCGTATTACAGAAAACCAACAACAATAACAATTGATACTTTAAACCCTAAAACTTAAAGAGAAAGAAGGAAGAATGAAATTGAGAAGAAATAAACACAATATACCTCTTACTTGAGTCTTGTGGCTTCTTAGGAGTGCGCTTCAATTGATCAAACAAGAAAAAAAAATGGAGGAAGAATGGAAGAGAAGGAGAAGAGTGCCCTGCGGCGTGGGAAGGAGAAGACGCACAAGAAGAGGAGAGCGTGAAATCATATCGGGGTATTTTCGGAATTTTGTAATATTCATTAAACTCAGCGCCTCCTCAAATCTGATTATCGTATAATCAGAAATTGAAAGCAGCTCATTAGCTGCTTTCCTTTATTGCTTTCTCCCACA